ATTGTACATTCTTTATGTATGTCCTCTTTGTTATGACCCTCTATGAGGGTTGACAGTATTACCAAATAAATAAAATTAAAATAAAGGTAAGAACATGACTACATGCCACGCTCAGGATGCCCTCGCAGTCGTTCCTCTAGCTTCATATATAACAAATTAAGTATTACGTGATCTGAATTAATGACGAACGTATATGACTGGTGCAAATGCGATAATCATGAAATGCGTATCATGTAAGAAAATGACTACATTCCACGCTCATGATGCGCTCGCGGTCGTTTCGCTAGTTTCACATATACTAAATTGGGTGTAATGTAACGTGAATAGACGACTGAGCACAAATGCCAGCCGCAAACACGATAATCATGACATGGAAGTCATGTACAGCATAATTTACGTCTGCCTCGTAACGTTGTGCTGGTTTTAATTACACGATTCAACCTTCCTCAGTCGGGCATCACATATTAGAGATTCCCACTGTACGGGGGCTCTACCGATTTTGGTGGTAGGTGTGAAACTGTATGTCCTCTCCGGGGTAATTCAACAAGGAAAAATCCACAACGTTGGGATTTGAAGCAGAGGCACTTTGCTCAAAACTCTGTTATGTCGCAGCCAAGTTCATTTTAATAAGAAGCAGCCCACTAATTTTTGGGTGTCGCCTTGTTGATTCCAACACTTCATCGTCTTAGTACGATGAATTGTCGTGTCAGCCTCTTGCAGTCACCCTGCTGTTGTCACGTTGACAGTTGCTTGGTTTACGTGAGCATGCTGTGCCGTCTAGCGCCATTTCTCGGAACCCAAAGAAGTACTAGATATCAATGAAAGCATGCTCAAGGCACTTCGCAGAACATTGGTTCCCACGCTGTATGAAATTTCCTTAACTATATTCACCAGCTACGGTGAAAGTAAATCGCACAGTTGAGTATTGTAAAAAAAAAATATGTGACGGAAAAACGTGGGTTATGTAAGTCTGGAGAGCAAAAAAAAAAAAAAAAAAACGAAGTCATCCACAACTTTTTTTTTTGCGCCCCGCAGCGGTGGTCTAAGTGGCTAAGGTACTCGGCTGCTGACCCGCAGGTCGCGGGATCGAATCCCAGCTGCGGCAGCTGCATTTCGGATGGAGGCGGAAATGTTGTAGGCCCGTGTGCTCTGATTTGGGTGCACGTTAAAGAACCCGAGGCGGTCGAAATTTCCGGTGTCCTCCACTACGGCGTCTCTCATAATCATATGGTGGTTTTGGGACGTTAAACCCACACATTAATCAATGAATTCACAACTTTCATGTACATCACACTAAACCTTGATAGTATAAGGATAACCGGGCGCACTAGACTTCTAATGTGATATGTACGTAAAATTTTATTTGTAAAAACAAGTGCTAGTTTTTAAGTATATTCGCACAGGTTTGATCATTTGTAGACTCCACTAATAAATACCGCATTTACATGATTGTTAGTTGACTTGAATGTAAGGCGACCCCCCCCCCCCCTCAAAACAATGCGACTAAGAAAATCCTTTCATGCATTTCGCAAAAAATACATATATTTAATTACATAGCAGCTCGAATGCCTACACGTTCACGGACTCCACAGTGGGACTCTGCGTCCGTCCTGTCACAAACTTACCTGTTCTGCACTCGTAAAAAGTAGCGTCGGAATATTTCAGCAGGAATGTACCCCCAAAAAAGCCCCCCCCCCCCCCCCCCACAAAAGAGTTTCGTAAAGTAAAAAAAAAAAAAGCATTTCCTGGGGTCCTAACTTGGCTTCACGGCAGTACTTTTCAGCTGTGCAGAACACACAGCTTCGCAAAAATACGCGAGAATTGTTTTTTTTTTCGTGAATCGCGGCTGACACTCTGGGTTACAAGTAAGAAAACGAAGTGCATGTTACAGGTAGAGCATGAATAAAAATGTAACGTTGCTACCATGCTAAAGTGCTCCTGATTTCTTGTTTGTCATGCCATAACTGGTGCTTGCTTTGATTGTTTGTGTTTCGATTGTAAGTTGACCCCCCTCCGTCCCAATTTCGGATTTAAAATTTATATGACATTGGTTGAGCTACAAATGTGTAAATTTAATAAAAAAACTTACCTTCCATTTGCTCACGTTCAAGATTGCTCGTGCTCTGTCAACTCTTTCAGGTTCATTGAGGGCTCATACGTGTTCATAAAGTGTTGCTTCGAGTATTTGCGAGTTAAACCTATTACCTGTTCGCCAAGGTATGGCCAAAATCGTTGCACCACGAGCACGTCGTGTGTCCGGTGATACTAAACCGCGGACACACATGTTTGCCAGTACTTAATACTTGATAAAATCGGATGAAAATGACAACACGTTCGTTTAAAATATGATTTGAATTTTTAACTCTATGTTGTTCCCAAGAATTTTAATCCCCGTCCTTTCATGCAATATATATATATATAAATATATATATATATATATATATATATATATATATATATATATATATATATATATATATATATATATATATATAAGGGAAAGAAGTGTATACCTAAGGGCTCGTTTTTTCCGTGTTTTGACACAATATTAATGAGATCTAACAGACAGTAATGCCAAGGAATGTACAGGGAAGTTATTAGAACCAATGGAATGCAAATAAGATGAAAGAAAAGTGGGTGAAAAAATAACCAGCCGTGAGCACACACACACACACACACACACACACACACACACACACACACACACACACACACACACACACACACACACACACACACACACACACACACACACACACACCACACACACACACACACACACACACACACACACACACACACACACACGCACACACACACACACACACACACACACACCACACACACACACACACACACACCCACACACACACCACACACACACACACACACACACACACACACACACACACACACACACACACACACACACACACACACACACACACACACACACACACACACACACACACACACACACACACACACACACACACACACACACACACACACACACACACACACACACACACACACACACACACACACACACACACACACACACACACACCACACACACACACACACACACACACACACACACACAACGCACGCGCGCGCGACGTATCTATCTGTATATATAGTAATGGTACAGGTTCTTTATCTATTTAACATCACTTTATATAACTACTTCATGAAAATATTGTACAGTGATATAGACAAATGGTCCTGTATTATGAAGTGCGCGTAGGCGTGACACTTGTAATCGTAAATGGTCACATCCTGTTGTTCGTCTTCATTAGACTTCTTTTTCTGGAGACCTCTTTCGGCCAACTGCAACAAGCATCTCCTTATGGTCGGTCAAATGGCAACTGCAGTACTTCACTTCTGTAATGGTGTCGTGAGAATAAAAAGCTAAATCTATGCAAGTGTTGTGGTTTGTTGAAATGACATTCTTTGTGTTTCTTTGTGTTTTAGTGGTGATGGCTGCACAATTCTGGCCTTTTTCGATGTAGTTTGATGGTCTCCCAAATGCGTCTACAAATCGCCAAATGGGCTCGTCTTCGTCGTGACACCTATCGAACCAAATGTGTTAAGGAGACTCCATCCAATACTTGGCATTTATGTGGTGTCTTTTCCCAAAGCATCTGCAAGTAACATCGTTATTTTGTGGTAGTACACCTGCTTGTCACGCGAACGGCCCGTGTTCGATCCTCAATGGGACCGAAAATTTTATTTTTTATTTTATTTGCTTCTTTCTATATTTTTCGCTCATGGACGATTTTTCGCTCACGAGTCACAACCAATGGTACCGACGTCGATGGTGGAATTTCTGCGACACGATCTCTCTGACGCTATCGCGTTAAAACCACACAGAAACTTTCAAACAGCTCCGAAAATGGACATCTATGTCCAGCTAGCGAAAAACATATCATGCCTTTCCAGAGGAATTGATCAGGCAAATAGCAAACGCTAGAGAATGTGCTGCTATCTGTGAGCCATTGTGAGACTCTTTATGCCCCTTCAAGGAAATGCCATTTCAACAAACCACAGCACTTGCATAGATTTAGCTTTTCATTCTCACGACACCATTACAGAAGGGAAGTACTGCAGTTGCCATTCCACCAACTATATGGCGATGCTTGTTGCGGCTGGCCGGAAGAGGTCTTCAGAAAAACACTTCAAACAATTGCCAAATAATTAATGCAAGACGGACGACAGAATGTCACCATTTACGAATACAAGTGTCACGCCTAGGTGCAGTTCATATTACAGGACCATTTGACTATACACATGTACAACATTTTTATGTTGTTATAGAAGTGATGTTAAATAGATCAAATACCGGTACCATTGTATAAATACGTCGCGGCTTGCGCGCCTGTGTGTGTGTGTGTGTGTGCGTGTGTGTGTGTGTGTGTGTGTGTGTGTGTGTGTGTGTGTGTGTAACAAAACATATTATTAAGTATGCACTTAGCTGTTAGAAGGTGCACTATGGGCCAGATTTCGCTGTCGCCTTCAACTCTTAAAGGCGAAGCCTAATGGTCCCCCAATTTTTCTTTTTACTCCATTATTCCTAAAGTGTCCTATTCAGTGATTACTGACTGATGCTAATAAAAAAACGTACCCAGAAATATATCAAAGTGAAAGTGATGTCGCTTATTAGGGGACATGATGGGTCTACTTGGCTTATGCTCTGATCTGCAGTTGTGCACAAAGATAAAAGAAGGGGGACATAAACATTCATGAATGATGCTCATGATAATAGGAAGAAGTGATGAGTATGTACTGTGATCATATAACTTGGTGGCTTCCTTAAAGCCTCCTGTCTAGCCCGGTACACTTAAAATATTTTATAGTAGCCCTTGCAGCTCTTGCGACTGCTTCGCCGCTCAGTTTTGACCAAATCAAAACTATTTGTCAATGGGAAACACATGTCAGACTTCTCGTCGACCCTTTCGAGGAGATTGGAAGTATGACAATGAAACGTGCGACAGGAATTGCATGCGTCAATCATGGCAGCTTTTATTTGTACATAATAAATACACGAGTAGCGGGACGCTACAAGCGTGGTATTTTTCGTCGATTTCGCCACCGATGTGTTCGCACCTGAAACAGTGAAAAAAAGTTCATATATTTATTTGCTCCACACATGAGCATACAACAGGATGAAGTGCGCAAGTGAAGTCGTTAAGCTTGTAGCTTCTACTATAGCACTCGTGCCACCAAAAATAAGTCGAGGCAGTTTAATGGTTTTTGAATATTTACATTGAAGGTGTGTGCACTTGTTAATGAAAAACCTTGTTTCAAATTTTTGTCCGCCAGCACTCTTATCTGTACATTTACGAAAATGCCGATTATCTTGTGTTACGAACAGGTAGGGTAGTGAGTACACTCGAGAAAATACGCGTTTTTAAGGAGCAATGGGAAGTATATCTACCGACGTTTTTGGTAGTCATAATGCTCGTGAGTTCTAGTTGTATAATCTTCTTTCAAGCGGTTGAGCGTGGTAACTTTAGTTTCATAGTTTCTCCATGTTTTGCTTTAAATTAGGTTTATTACAATTAAACTTACAATGTTCGGTACAGAAAATATGCAAAGAAGGGTCCCGAAGTCATTGACTGGAACGGGACTCTCGTAAATGCTTTGGGAGCATGCATGTTGTTTTCTTATTTTGCTTTCTCATTTTGATTTCACCCTATACTTTTCTCTCCTTTATAGGGAATCAAGTTGGGTATTTGATTGGGGGCTGTCACCCCTCTAAAGCTCTAAAGCTTCCCTTTTCTCTCACTTTTTTTTACTTCATTCTCATCCTACGGCCAAGTTTCCGTATTGTAAAATTTGGAAGTTTGTTGATCGACGCTTATAGAAGCCCGTCAACGATGAAGTGAATTAAGTACTAAAGACGCTATGTTTCGGCACTCACCGGAGGTACAAGCATGGTAGCTATAGTAGTTTATGGCAGCATTTAGTGGTATCCGTAGCCTCCCTTGAGGACAGCGCCGTAACCGCCATAGCCGAGACCGTATCCGCCATAGCCGCCATATCCGCCATAGGCAAGACCGCCGTAACCAGCACCATATCCTCCTCCGTATCCACCAGCGGAGACGATGGCGTGGCTGACGGAGACGACGGGCTGGACGGTGTGAGAGACGGTGGCAACGGGCTGCTTGACGTAGCTGACGACGGGCCTGGTGACGTAGCCGACGCTGACGACGGGCTTCTTCACGTAGGAGACGGTCTTGACGGGAACGGCGACGGCGTGGTGGTGGCCATAGCCGCCGTGGCCGTAGCCGAGGCCGTATCCGCCATAGCCGTAGCCGGCAAAGCCAGCGCTGGCGGCGGCGATGAGGGCGGCGAAGACGAGCTGCGTGAGACGAGACCAAAGGCGTTTTGAGACCTTGCGCGTCGTGCATCTGGTCATTCATCTTTAGGCATGCTTAATGACCTCGATATTGAAGCTGATGGATGGAGCACAATTAATATGAAGAAATTTGCCAGTTACCAATGAAAACACGAATCGCCATCTTCATCTGTAACCTAAATGCCACTAGGAAAGCAAGTCTGTCTCGCCACCTCGTCCTTCCGAATTAAGGTCCCTTCATTAAAAAAAAAACGAATGCTATAACATCCATGGCAAATAGAACTTTAAGCCTACTTGTGATTTTATCCCAATTGGTGCGTTTTCACCTATGTGACTTACTGTTATCTCACCAAAGTTATACGTCACATTTAACATACTTCTGCAGAGAGAGCAATAGATTGATACCACCGCTGTACAACAGGGATTAAATTAGCACATGGCTGCTTTGTTCCTATCCTCATATTTATTTCGTTCACATTGTCATGAATGACCGTTTTAATGTTGAGAAATAGCTTCTATATTCATGCATTCGGAAGCAAAACGTGGCTTCTATAATTTTCGGCCCTCAACCTTTTCAAGCTTTACGTTGTGCAGCGAAATCAAAACTAACGAAAGCTGCCGCGCACGTGACAGCCACAGGAAGCTTGCCAGCTCGCGCTCTTTAGCTCTCCGATCACGTCACTTTCGATGCAAATCTTGTCAGGTGTGGACGCTTAAATGTAGGGGGTGGAGCTGTAAAGCGTTTACAAGCTTCAGATACGATCAGAGTCAACGCGTGTTTGGTTTCCTTTTTTCTTTTCTGCCGCATAAGCAAATGCGCCATCACAGAGTTGTGAGATAAACGATTGATGTCGATTTGTATGCTAACGCCGTGCACGCTCGCCTGTGAGCGACGCCGCTACGTTCTCGCTCACTTGAGTCTGCAAGAAGAGAATTGCAGGTATTGTAGTGCTTACAGAACTGTGGGAATGACGGCATTTCCTTTATGAATTGGTTCAGGAAACAGATGAAAAATACGCGAAAAGAGATACTGACTGCTGTTTAGTCTGCTTGTATTTATAGTTACTATTCTTGAGTGGAGGATGAATATTTAAGTGCTAAAGACGTTCGTTAGCAACGTGACAGAGTTACCAACTATCGAGGCAATATTTGGTGACTCCGCGCACTGCCAACAGCTAAATAAAGTTCAAAGATGCAGAAGGTGTAAGTTTTAAAACGATAAAATTAAAATTAACAATCCAATATGTGACTATATACAAGCTTCACAACTGCTGTCCTTTATGAAGAAATTTACAATTCGAGGTAATGGTAAAACACTCGGCGTGGCTGTCTAAATACCACTTTTAAATCATTTAAAGATCAAGAGAAAAGCGTGGTAAAGTCCAGATACCAGCCACCAAGGCAAGGGACGCTTCTCCTAGAGCCGCGTCGCCTTTGAGTCCGCCTTGGTGACCGGCTCTTGGTGCTATGCTAGCACGCTATTAGAGGAACTGCCGAACAGCGCTGCAGCTGCAATGCTGTGTTGCTTCTGTCGACTGTGCATGAGAAACAAATGCAACTCACGAGGGTGTTCATGGTGCTGGTATTCCTCAGGAGGTTCTGGCGAAACTCTGATGCCCGCTGCGGTTCTGGGTCCAACTTATATACCCCGGCCACACCGAGGGCAAAGTATTGTGGGCCGACCTACGGCGTGTAAGAGGTTTTTGGAAAAACAACTACAATCAGAAAATGTTTCGCCGTACGAGAAGGGTTGTCCACGCCTCTGCTCCCCCTCTCTTCATTTACCCTCCGACGACAGAAAACCCTCACCGGAAGTCAGATGTAAGCGATAAGAAGCAGCGAATATTCCGACAGCCTCACGTTTCACGGTGGGTGCGACCCACACTGTCCACCGCCAGATTAAAAAAAAGCAATAATACCGAATAAAGGGCCGCCAACATTCTCGCGGACGCTTGGCCGCAGTTTGTCTCGAGGCACCTGCGCGAGAGTGGCTCGATTATCTCCCTTTCTAGGTTTTCCGATATGGGCTCGAGCACAAGGTTACACCCGATTTTCTTTTTCGCATTTGTCCCCCTCTCTGCACTTCCCAGTTTTCTCCGAGCAAATGTCGTGCTGTATGCCACGTGTTTCTCGGTTCATTTTCTTGTTTTTCTCACTCTTTACCTTTCTTGTCTTTTGGGCGATTCTACTGCTTCTCTTTTTTTGCTTGTTGGCCCTCTTGTGCGAACGCGTCAGCCAACGGTCAGCCCGTTAGCGTAAGTAAGCGCCCGTTGGCCTGCATCTTATGAATCGCGTTGCGCTTACAGACCCTATGTGGTATAAGCGCAGCGCCCTCTCCACCCTGAGTGACATGTTTCGCGTTCCTTTCTTTACGTATTATCTTAATGTCCGCCTTGTTTCTTCATCTGTCCATAGACCGGAGATCGTAAGAGGGGAGGAGGTCGCAATTAGGCGGCCCCGGCCTTTCACAACGCTACTTCGCTGTGGCAGCGTTAGCGCGCGCTCGTGGCCCCTCCGTGTTTCCTGGCACCTTTTTTATATTCTTTCTACCTTTCTCTCTTCGTGTGCTCGGCTAATCGTGTGAAATTGCCGCTCGCCAGTATATTACAATGCGTGGTTTTCGAGCGGGCCTCTTACTCGGGGGATCCGAATGCGAGGCCCGCCGGGAAAGCGCAGCTGTATAGGGCGAATGCGCGTATGCAGGCACGCGATGTAATTGCCCTCGACAGCGAAGCGGGCTAAAGAAAACGAAGCCAAGCTGAACGAACGTGTCCCCAGTGTGATTGGATTTGTGAGTCCTTTCTTTAGCTCCTTATGTTACGATATGTACTTCTTTTCCGGCCACCTGCTCAGTCGGCTTTGCCACACTCGCGGGTGGTGAGGACTGTGGGCCGCTGTCATCGTGTGCCACTGCGAAACGAATATCACCGCTTAAAGGACGCTCAACTGATTTATTCAAGGGCGTCGTGAACGGTAAACGACACCGTAGTGTTTGCTGCCGCTGCTTTCATTCTCGTTTCTATCAGATTGAAAACGTGAGTGGCCGATGAAGGGCGGATTGAAAAAAAAAAAGTCTTGGCTTTGCAGCGCGCGAGTTGCCGTATGGGGGAACACTTGCTTCCAATGTTTGTCAATGAGTGCCAGTGTGTCCGGAGAGCCGGCCACTGCGAAAAAGTACCAACGCCCAGATTTCCGCTGCACCCCCGGCGGCCTCGCCGCTGCCGGGCGCTGATTATAAACGCTCCACACACGAAGTTCGCATATATAGCGACCGTTTCTACGCTCGGTCGCAAGCCGCCAGCATCGTTACCTGTTTTGTCCAATGACAATCCACGCGTTGTTATTGGATGAACAAACGAATGGTGCAAGTTGTTTACAAGGAAGGTTGCAACCTGTGAACTATCTGGTATCTTTCCGGGTACAATGCGTTAGGTGCAGCGTTACATATAGTATATATTGCGCATGTTATGTATGTGTCGCCGCGCTCTGTTTGTATTCTTTCATTTTTTCTGATACTACTCATCTGAAGATGTGGATGAGCTTGCTATAGGGACATCACCAGTCGCAAATCACCAGTACTTATTAGGTCGCTCATATATATGCGTACGTGTGCTTTACACACGATTTTTCGTTGTCGCTTAGTATTCGGTAGCTGCCAAAACTAAAGACACGAGCAACCTGGACAATGGCTAGCCATGAAGTCTTTAAAGACATTTGTCTTCACACGGTTTTTTCACCCTGTCGCCTCCACGTGCTTGCTTAGAATGTGAAAATACGTTCGAAGGAATACATGGCCAAAGTTTCTTACTTTATATATATAACCCGTAAGGATTGCTCACTTGACCTGAATACTTCTCTCATTCGCATTTCTTGAAAAAAAAAATCTACGTTACATTATATAAGGAAACATGGTCATTAGAGTTGTACTTTGCCTTGAGTATCGATCTCGTTCAGACTTTGTTGTTGCCTCCTCTGGATTGTGCTTAAACTTTTTTCTTTCTTCCCTCTGTAGCTGCATTCATTGCTTAGCAGAATGATGACGGTAGATATTGTTTAGCTCGAAGAATATGCCAATTAATTTAATTCGCGGTTTCTGTATTCTTTTTTACCATCATATGTACATACCTCGTTTTTGTACCCACGCTCGAACCCCCCCCCCCCCTTCTATGTAATTCCTTTTTGAGCTCTTAGGTTACTCGTATAAATAAATAAAAGTAAATAAGAGCAGAACATGCATTACTCGAAAAATTGTAGAAGCATAAGCTATATCCCAACTTGGGAAACGGTGTCTAGGTGTGTCATCATTATAACTTTCACGTTTAATAAATGCATACTTACGCATGTTTAGTTGGTAATGTTCATGTGTCGGGCTGCATATGTGCAGTTTTTTCTAACAAAAGTTCATGCAAGTTTAGTGCTTGGCAGTGTCGTTTTCGTTCCATGCGTGCGTTGTTTCGCACTACAGTTTGTTGTATTTATTTAGTTCGGTTTGGCAAAGGAGGGTGTGTTCCTAATTTAATCAGTTTGAAATGCAAGTTCTTTGTGTTTTATATTACCATGCGCCCTATTTTTCTGCTTTTCTTTATTCGGCAGGTAATTAGGTGAAGGTTAGAAAACAGTAGCCATGGACCGACGCTGTTTTCTTAGCGGTTTCTCGGAAAGAAATCATGCGAGGGCCGTGTCGTTACGTTCGCGCGCTTGCACGAGTTACCTTTTCCTATTCCAAGTTGCTTTGTTTTACATTTTCGGCAACTTAGCGCTCATTTTCCGCTGGCAGGCGTGCTTACTTGGGCTTGTCATGGGCAATGGTTGCGGTTATAATTGTCGGTAACGCTCCTTGAGCACGGGCTTCATTGTTCATTGATTTTATCGTGCTTATTCTTCGCCTTTCTCGCGTTTTCCGCATATCGCGTACAAGGTGTGACCTTGAAGTGTATGCACGGGTTTTAAATGAGCAAAAAGACTTCAACGGCTGACGTTTCTGCTCAATGGCAAAAATTAAACCTTAATGTCAGACACTTTATTGCTATTTCCTGCTTTAGGCTTTGTAAGCCGTCCTGACATTTGAATACGTTGGTTTGCATGCGCGTTAAAATTGCAGCTGCACTGTTTGTGTTACGATATAACAACAGCAGCTAAAGCACTTAAGCATTTCTTCGAGTATAGCATTCCAGCCACGTGGAAGCAAATACAGCGTTATGTCATTTGCGATGCAATTGTCACATTGGGTTGTCACGTTAAGTATTATTAATCGTGGATCTTCACGAAGCAACTTCTTTTCTCTTCCTATTTTGCACTGAGGAAGGCACTTCCGGTGACATATCAGTGGTAATCGCGGATTTTCAGCCCCAGATAGCTTTGTTTGACGTCTTTTGCCACTTTCAATTTTCGTTGCCTATAAACGTGACAGCGTTAAAGAACTACAGTTCTGCAGAAATTCCGGCATTGGTGACAACGTTGTTGGTGGCTGGTGAAAACTAATCTTGTCCATGACCGAAAAATGCAAACAAATAATAAAAATATTTGGGTTCAAGTGAGATTTGAACCCAGGTTGTCTGCGTGGCAAGCAGCTGTTCTTCCATAAAGCTGCGCTATTTCGCGAAACTTCTTGAAAAAAAAAAAACCTATATGATTGTCGTGTAGTGTAAGGAGTCTCTTTAACGCGTGCATGTATTATTGCGAGGCAGAAGCATGGAATCAGGCCAGACACCAATATATGCGAACTGCGCAACGAGTGGGACTTTGAAAGTCTCATCCATTACAAAGTGCTCTGAAATATTTATCATTATCAGCAAAAGCATCAATAAAGTGAGCAGTTTAGGTTTGTATGTTGCCTTACATGGTGGGCTCTTCGGTGATTTCGCAAAAAAAATTAAGGCGCAGTGGGCAATTAACTGCACTTGCATTATAGGCAGTCTAGAATACCTCGAAACGGCTAATGTTATGCCATGAAGGAAGAACAAAGAAAGGAGGGAGCATAATGTCACGCCAGTGAAGCCTACTGTGTCGGCCCATTGCAACACGTGATGATAACGTCGGAGCGTGCGGTAGGTTTTAGTATACTCTCGGTGGCGTTCCCTTTTTGAACCTGCTGCGTGAGCCGTCTGGTCTGCCCGAAATGGCGCCGAACAAGCTCGTTTCGATTAAAAGTTACCAGTCGCCGCCATACCCCAAGGTCTCGGCAAGTCTCGTTGCTATGCGTTATCTTGACGCAAAAAGTCGCGAGTTGGGCCCGGACATGCTGACTTCGAAACGGGTTGGCTTGCCAGGGCTGGCTGCGTGGCGTCACGTTACATCTTTTCTTTTGCTTTCCTCCGTGTGCTAGCGCACAGTCGCTCGTTTAGTTACGGCGTGGTTGAGGCATGCGCAGAGAACTGAATCGAGGCTAGTGATTGAGAAGGTGATGGTCATGGTCAGGGGGCCCGATTACGCTCTCGTGTTCTACTCTTGAAGGTAAAGCTCAAGCGTGTCTCACCCCCGTATTCTAGAACGCCCCTTCACTCAACGCTCGACCTTCACTTGAGAATGCCGATGGGAGCTTCATCTCTAGGCAGGGAAAGTCACTGCATATAAGTGATAATTTGCTGCCATTCTTGAGTAGCGCAGCGTCATTTCAGCCGAGCAGCGGCGCAGTGCGC